TTGTCTTTCTTTGGGATTGGAATGAAAGCTGAGTTTTTCCAGTCCTGTGGCCACTGCTGAGCTTTCCAAATTCACTGCCATATTGAGTGCAGCACTTTAACAGCATGACCTTTGTGGTCTGAAATAGCTCAGCTGGAATTCCATCACCTCCACTAGCTTTGTTCTTTGTGATGCTTCCTAAGGCCCATTGACTTCACACTCCAGGATGTCTGGCTCTAGGTGAGTGATCACACCACTGTGGTTTCCCAGGTCATTAAGCAGAAGACGGTGAGAGTGAACAGCAGCATTTTAGAAGTCAGTGACCTAAATTGAACAGGAATGGGAAAATTCAATTCAGATGACCACTATATCTACTGCTGTGGGCCAGAATCCCTTAGAAGGAATGGAGCAGCCCTCATAGTCAACAAAAGAGTTCCAAATGTAGTACTTGGGTGAAGTCTCAAAAATGACAGAGTGATCTTGGTTCATGTCCAAGACAAACTATTCAACATCACAGTAATTCAAGTCTATGCGCCAACCACTAATGCCAAAGAGGCTGAATTCAAATGGTTCTGTGAAGCCCTACAAGACCTTCTAGAACAAACACCAAAGAAGATGTCCTTTTCATCATAGGGGATTGGAATGCAAAAGTAGGAAGTCAAGAGATACCTGGAGTAACAGGCAAGTTTGGCCTTGGAGTATAGAATGAAGCAGGACAAAGACTAACAGTTTTGCTAAGAGAATGCACTGGTCAGAGCAAGCACCCTCTTTCAACAACAGAAGAGATGACTCTACACATGGATACCACCAGATGGTCAATACTGAAATCAGACTGATTATATTCTTTGCAACAGAAGAAGGAGAAGTCAGCCAAAACAAAACCTGGAGCTGACTGCGGCTCAGATCATGAGCTCCTTTTTGTATAATTCAGACTTAAATTTAAGAAAGTAGGGAAAACCACTAGGTCATTCATGTATGAATGATAATCATATCCCTTATGATTATACTGTGGAAGTGACAAATAGATTCAAGGGATTAGATCTGATAGAGTGCCTGAAGAGCTATGGCTAAAGGTTTGTAACATTGTACAGGCAGTGGTGACCAAAATCATCCCAATGAAAAATGCAACAAGGCAAAATGGTTGTCTGAGGAGACCTTAAAAATAGCTGAGAAAAGAAGAGAAGACAAAAGGAAAGATATACCTAATTGAATGCAGGGTTCCAAAGAATAGCAAGGAGAGAAAAGAAAGCCTTCTTAAGTGAACAATGAAAAGAAATAGAGGAAAATAACAGCATGGGAAAGACTAGAGATCTCTTCGAGAAAATAAGAGATAACAAGGGAACATTTCATGCCAAGATGGGCTCAATAAAGGATAGTAACGGTAAGGACCTAACAGAAGCAGAAGAGATTAAGATGAGGTGGCAAGAATACACAGAAGAACTGAACAAAAAAGGCCTTAATAACCCAGATAAGCACAATGGTGTGGTCACTAACCTAGATATCTTAACTGCTAAGTTGAAAAGAATGTACAAGAAATGCTTGATGCAAATTAAGGTATAAAACATAATCCACACCAAGCAATCCACTGCTAACCAGAACTGCCACATCCCCTCCAACTGCATCTGCCTACCTATCCCCCTGCCTCCCTTCTGAGGTGACCACTGTCCCAAATTTCCCTTCTAATTTTCTCAATAGTTTTATTACTTGTACTGTTTCATTTTTCTTACTTTTGTGTTTCTAGACATGATTCAATCATAACCTCTATGCACCTTGTGAGCTGCAAGTGCCAGTTAGTGACCAGGGTGGTCCACTATCCATCAGATCATTCCCATGTTTCTGTTGCTGCAAAGAGTGTTGCTCAGACCATTTTCATGCATGCTTCCTGGAACACTTTGCAAGAGCATCTCTAGATCAGGCGTGTCAAGGGCTACATGATACATGACACCATGTGACTTCCTAAGTATTTGAACTTATGTCATTTGGTCCCATAACTTCCTGGCAAATAGAAGGGGAAAAGGTGGAAACGGTGACAGATTTTCTTCTCTTGGGCTCTAAAATCACTGTGGATGGGGTCTGCAGCCATGAAATTAGAAGATGATTGCTTCTGGGCAGGAAAGCTGTGTCAAACTTGAGTGCTAAGTTGCTTCAGTTGTGTCTGACTCTGTGACTCCATGAATTATAGCCCGCCAAGCTCCCCTGTCCATGGAATTCTCCAGGCAGGAATACTGGAGTGGGTTTTCATGCCCTTCTCCAGGGGATCTTCCCAACCCAGGGATCAAATCTCTGTCTCTTATGTCTCCTGCATTGGCAGATGGGTTCTTTACCACTAGCACCACCTGTTAAAAAGCAAAGACATCACTTTGCCAACAAAGGTCCATGTAGTCAAGGCTATGTCTTTTTTCCAGTAGTCTTGTATGGATGTGAGAGCTGGACAATAAAGAAGGCAGAGCACTGAAGAACTGATGCTTTCAAACTGTGGTGCTGGAGAAAACTTGGGATTCCCTTGGAAAGCAAGGCAATGAAACCAGTCAACCTTACAGGAAATCAACCTTGAATGTTCATTGGAAGGACTAATGCTGAAAATGAAGTTCCAATATTTTGTGTACCTAATGTGAACAGCTGACTCATTGGAAAAGACACTGCTGGGAAAGATTGAAGGCAGAAGGAGAAAAGGGTGACAGAGGATGAGATACTTGGATGGCATCACCGATTCAATGGACATGAACTTGGGCAAACTCCGGGAGATGGTGAGGGACAGGGAAGCCTGGTGTGCTACAGTCCATGGGGTTGGGAGGAGTTGGACATGACTTAGCAACTAAACAACAGTAAAAACTCTTATCAGCTGTCCAAGTGGTCCTGTCCATTTGCAACACTAAGTACTAATGGATTTTTTAATGTTTACCCATCTAACAGATTAATGGTAGTTAATCCTGGTCCCAATTTGCATTTCTCTGATTATGAATGAAGTAGAGAATCTCTTCATGAATGTTTATTCTTCAAACTTGTATCTTCTTTTGTAAAATGCCTGCTCATGTACTTACTCTTCCTTTGTGGTTTCTTTCTCTCATTGTTTGTAGGAATGTACATGTATCCTAGTTAACGATCCTTCTTAAGTTTTATGTGTTGCAATGATTTTTCCTTCTCTTTGGGCTATGTTTTCACACTATTTGTCAAATTTTTCTTATAAACAGTTTAGAATTATCAGTCTTTTATTTTGGAATTAGCAATTTTTTTACTTTAAAATCTGTCTTTGCCCTAGAAAGATCAGAAGGCTAGTTGCCATTTTTAAAGTTCTGCCTTTCGTATTTACATCTTAAGTCATGTGGAGCTGATTTTTGCATATGGTAGGGGCTAAGGATAAAATTTGCTTTTCCCACATGGATGTTAATCATCCCAGGACAGTTAAATAGGCTTTATGGCTCATACATGCAATTTCAGCTGTGGTGCACAGATTGATGCTGTCTGTGACTGGTTTGCTCTGTCTGAGCTGAGACCAGGACAGAAACTGAGAGGAAGTAGAGTTTCCTCAACTCAGGAACAGGACTTCTCAGGTCCTGCAGCCTCTCTGTTATTTTTCACCCCTTCCTTAGAAAATGTTAAGTTTCTCCATTACTAAATCTAAGCCATGGACATCCAGAAAACAGTCACTTCTACTGTTGGGCAGAGAGAGTTCCAGGTAAGGCTGACCACACAGGCTCCCCTACTCTGGGGGTAAACCATGGGCCTCTCCAACCTCATATCCCTGAGCTCTGATGCAGCTTGCATCCAGCCTGCTAACGGACCCTCCACCTGCATGCCTGCTCTGCTTCTCCAAGGCCAAGGATTCCGATCTTCCCTGGGGTGAGGGAAACCGCTCTTGTCTGGACACCAGCCTCAGATTCCCCTGGGGATTTGCCTTTGGCCTCAAAATGCTTGATTGTTCGGTTGTTGATAAGAGCATTGGAATTTTATCTTAACTCCAAGTTGTACACTCAGACTTTTCGTTATTTCTTTGTTTTCTTCTTTCATAATATATGACCACTTTAAGACTTACTGATGTTGCCTTGATGATAAAAGATTTAGAATAGAAGAAAGACTGGGAATGAAACATCAATCTCCCTACATTCTCTGAAGGAAGTTTTATTTGATTGAACATGTTTATCTGAAGAGACCCATTATTCATCTATGCAACACCAAGAACAAGAACTAAAATATAGGGAATTCCCTCGTGGTCCAGGGGTTAGGACTTGGTGCTTTCATTGCTCTTGGCCAGGGTTCATTCTCTGGTTGGGGAACTAATTCCACAAGGTTGTGGTACAGGCGAAACAATAAAAAAGAACTAAGACGCGGTCAAAGTTGTTACATGGATTTACAGTTCAAAGTAGAACTGGGGAAGGTTGAGTAAGGACAGGTAGATTAGGAGTCAGACTGTGTGTGGTCAAGCAGAACAGGTGACAGGACTCTGAGCTCAGGTAAAACAAGGGATAGTTCCATGAGGCCAAGGTAGAACATGACACAGGCTGAGTGAAGCCAAGTGGAATGTGGATGAGTTATGTGGGCTCCAGGCAGATGTGTGGACAAGCTCTAAAGGCCCAGGTAAAGCGGGACCTGCCATGTGATGCCAGGTAACCAGCTGCAGGAGGCAGAGGGAGGGGCTGTTGGGGAAGATGAAGGAAGCTGAGGGATGTGGCAGGGTAACTTGAAGATCAGGATCCAACCATGCACTGAGGGAGGGTCTGTGCAGAGACCACAGAAGGTGAGAAGGTACAGCCAGTGGCCCTTTCAGCTGGAGCTAGCACTGTGTGGCAGGTTGGGACAACCAAGGAAAAGCCGAGTTGAGAGGGGCCTTGAGGAAGGTTGAGGGTCAGGTTCCTGGAGGCCACCCAGGGGTGGAGAGATGCTTACCTGGATGCAAGAAGGCCACCTCCCAGGACCTGGGTCTACAGTTCTGCAGCTGAGGCCTTATTGGGTGCACAGGGCCCCAACTCGAGGGTAAGGGTACTGAGAAGATGACAGCCAGCTCTTTCTCTTCCAAGCTGGTCTCAGGGAGGCAGCCCATGCACCCCAGGGTGGAGAAGGGCTTGCACAAGTCTCCCCAGGGCATGTTTATCCTTCGTGTTCCTCAGAGAGTAGGTGACTGGGTTCAGGGTGGGGCTCAGCATCGTGTAGAGCACTGCGGATACCTTGCTTCTCTCAGGGCTGTAGCTGGAGGCCGGACTGATGTAGGCACAGAACACTGCGGAGTAGTACACCAAGACCACCAGGAGGTGGGAGGAGCAGGTGGAGAAGGCCCGCCGCCTGCCGGCAGCCGAGCGCTTGCGCAGGATGCTGGCGACGATGCAGCTGTAGGAAGCCAGAGTGAGTAGGCAGTTGACGACTCCATAGAAGGCATCGGCTAAGACAGTCATGATGCTGTTCACAAGTGTGGGGCTGCAGGAGAGCAGCAGGAGTGGGGGGATCTCGCAGAAGAAGTGTGCGATAACGTTGGGGCCGCAGAAAGACAGCAGCGTCATCAGCCCAGCGTGCAGCGACCCGTTGAGGGCACAGACGGCCCACACGCCCACGGCCAGCAACCTGCACAGCCGCGGGCTCATCCACGTGCTGTAGTGCAGCGGGCGGCAGATGGCCACGTAGCGGTCGTAGGCCATGACCGTCAGCAGCAGCAGCTCGGAAGATGCGGACCAGGTGAGGAAGAACAGCCGGGCCTTGCACCCCTGGAAGGAGATGGTGTTTTCCTCGAAGGCCAGGCCCGCCAGCGCCTTGGGCAGCACAGATGAGGTGCAGACAATATCCATGGTAGCCAGATTGCAGAGGAAAAAGTACATGGGGCTTTGGAGGCTGGCGCTGTGGCTGTCCACGGCGATGATTACGGCGTCACCCGTGAGCGCCGCGGTGTAGAGGGAGAAGCAGCAGCCGAAAGGGGCAGCTGCAGGCGGGGGTGCTCCGAGAAGCCCTGAAGCACGAGTTCTGCCACCAGAGTCTCGCTGGACCTTGTGGCCCAGCCGGGAGCAGCCCCAAGGCCCTGCTCCATGTGTTCACAGACCTGTGACAGGGATTACACGACGCTGGCGCGGGACTCTACCCAGGTGACCATCTCAGAAGGCAGCCTGGTCTTGGAAAGGGAGGGCTGGCCCGACTCCTTCACAGGAGTCTGTTTATTCCTTAACTTCCAAACCCAACACTCTTCCGAAAGCCGTATACCCTTCATTTACTTCTCTTTTCATTTTGTACTCCTAGAAACACTGTCCTCTGGCGCTTCTAGCCCCATCCCCGCCCTCACTTCCTTGATTGTGAGCCACTTACAGCTGAGCCAGTTCCCACGCGCCATGGCTGAGCCCCTCCCCCCGGCCCATGCTCCCACCTCCAGCCCCATCTCCGTAAAGGACATACTGCTGCTTTTCAGCTGTTCCCCCTGGGTTCCCATCTCCATCTTTTCTGAACTTGTGCTCCTTGCACTCCAGGATTACTTCTGTAGCTGATCCTGCCCTCAGTCCGACATCACTCCTATCTACCCCCAAAAACCCAAGACCCATGAACTGCAATTCTGCCTCAAACTACAGGCTTTCAAACTCAAAATTCAAACCTAAACTGTTGGCCCTTGCCCCAAATGTGTTCATCGTGTAGTTTTACAGCAGCAGAAGGTAACTCACCCATCCTCCTAGTCACCCAGCCACCCAAACCCTGGGTGTAGGCTTTGTGGCAACAGGACCTCGCTTGGACCACATCAAGCTCTAGTTCCTGGTCATGGGAGGTTCTCAGAATATATTTGTTCCAGGAGCCTTTGATGGTTTTCTTACTCCTCAGCCTCTGGTTCCCGAGGCCTGCAGGCAGAGCTTCCTGCACAATGTTCACAGATGCTCCATCTCTCATTCACAGATATGTACCTAACTTCAAGCTTTTTGTCACCACCTGTATGTCCAGTTTCTCCCTCCAACACCCTCTGGTATGTTCCCAACTGGGTTAACGGTGATGCCCTGGGATGAACACCTGATCCTGACATTTCATTCACCTCTGTGAAGCTCACCAAGACTTAGCAGAGTGCTCAGGTGAAAAATCACAGAAAACTAACCAAACTGTTCACATGGACCACAGCCTTCCCTAACTCAATGAAACTATGAGCCAGGCCTTATAGGGCCACCCAAGACGGACAGGTCACAGTGGAGAGTTATAACAAAACATGGTCCATGGGAGAAGGGAATGGAAAACCACTTGAGTATTCTTGCCTAAGGAACCCCATGCACGACATGAAAAGGCAAAAAGATACAACAGTGAAAGATGAACTCCCCAGGTTGGTAGGTGCTCAATATGCTACTGTAGAAGAGTGGAGAAATAACTCCAAAAAGAATGAATAGATAGAGCCAAAAGGAAAACAATGCCCAGTTGTGGATGTGACTGGTGACGGAAGTAAAGTCTGATGCTGTAAAGAATATTGCATAGGGACCTGGAGTGTTAGGTCCATGAATCAAGGTAAATTGGAAGTGGTCAAACAGGAGATGGTAAGGGTGAACATCAACATTTTAGGAATCATTAAACTAAAATGGACTGGAATGGACAAATTTAATTCAGATGACCATTATATCTACTACTGTGGGCAAGAATCCCTTAGAAGAAATGGAGTAGGACTCAGAGTCAACAACAGGTTGGGAATGCAGTTCTTGAGTGCAGTGTCAAAAATGACAGAATGATCTCTGTTCGTTTCCAAGGTCAACCATTCAACATCACAGTAATCCAAGTCTATGCCACAACCACTAATGCTGAAGAAGCTGAAGATGAACGGTTCTATGAGGACCTACAAGACCTTCTAGAACTAACACCAAAAAAAAGATGTCCTGTTCATCATAGAGGACTGCAATGTAAAGGTAGGAAGTCAGGACATACCTGGAGTAACAGGCAAGTTTGGCCTTGGAGTACAAAATGAAGCAGGGCAAAGGCTAACAGAGTTTTGCCAAGAGAATGCACTGGTCATAGCAAACACCCTCTTCCAACAACACAAGAGACACATGGACATCACCAGATGGTCAATAGCAGAATCAGATTGATTATATTCTTTGCAGCCAAAAATGGAGAAGCTCTATACAGTCAGCAAAAGAAAGACTGGGAGCTGACTGTGGCTCAGATCATAAACACGTTATTGCAAAATTCAGACTTAAAGAGGTAGGCAAAACCACTAGACCATTCAGGTATGACCTAAATCAAATCCCTTACAATTATACAATGAAAATGACAAATAGATTCAAGGGATTAGATCTCATAGACAGAGAGCCTGAAGAACTATAGACAGGGGTTCATGACATTGTACAGGAGGCAGTGATCAAAACCATCCCCAAGAAAAGGAAATGCAAAAAGGCAAAATGGTTGTCTGAGGAGGCCTTACAAATAGCTGAGAAAAGAAGAGAAGCTAAAGGCAAAGGAGAAAAGGAAAGATATATCCATCTGAATGCAGAGTTCCAAAGAATAGCAAGGAGAGATAAGAAAGCCTTCCTCAGTAATCAATACCAAAAAGTAGAGGAAAACAACAGAATTGGAGAGACTAGAGATCTCTTCAAAAAAATTAGAGATACCAAGTGAACATATCATGCAAAGATGGGCACAACAAGGGACAGAAATGGTATGGACCTAACAGAAGCAGAAGATATTAAGAAGAAGTGGCAAGAGTACACAAAAGAACTACCAGAAAAGATCTTAATGACCCAGATAACCATGATGGTGTGATCACTCACCTAGAGCCAGACATTCTGGAATGTGAAGTCAAGTGGGCCTTACGAAGCATCACTATGAACAAAGGTAGTGGAGGTGATGGAATTCCAGTTGAGCTATTTCAAATCCTGAAAGATGATGCTGTGAAAGTGCTGCACTCAATATGCCAGCAAATTTAGAAAACTCAGCAGTGGCCACAGGCATGGAAAAGGTCAGTTTTCATTTCAATCCCAAAGAAAGACAATGCCAAAGAATGTTCAAACTACCACACAATTGTGCTCATCTTGCACACTAGCAAAGTAATGCTCAAAATTCTCCAAGCAAATCTTTAACAGTATGTGAACCGAGAACTTCCAAATGTTCAAGCTGGATTTAGAAAAGGCAAAGGAACCAGAGATCAAATTGCCAACATCTGGTGGATCTTAGAAAAAGAGAGAGAGTTCCAGAAAGACATTGACTTCTGCTTTATTGACTATGCCAAAGCCTTTGACTGTGTGGATCACAGAAACTGTGGGAAAGTCTTCAAGAGATGAGAATAACAGACCATCTGACCTGCCTCTTGAGACATCTGTATGCAGGTCAAGAAGCAACTTTTAGAACCAGACATGGAACAACGGACTGTTCCAAGTTGGGAAAGGAGTATGTCAAGGTTGTTTATTGTCACCCTGTTTATTTAGCTTCTATGCAGAGTACATCATGTGAAATGCCAGGCTTGATGAAGCACAAGCTGGAATCAAGATTGCCGGGAAAAATATCAACAACCTCAGATATGCAAATAACACCACCCTTATGGCAGAAAGCAAGAGGTACTGAAGAGCCTCTTGATGAAAGTGAAAGAAGAGACTGAAAAAGCTGGCTTAAAACTCAGCATTCAATAAATGAAGACCATGGCATCCAGTCCCATCACTTCATGGCAAATAGATGGGCTAACAGTGGAAACAGTGACAGACTTCATTTTCTTGGGTTCCAAAATCACTGCAGATGGTAACTGCAGCCATAAAATTAGAAGACACTTGCTCCTTGGAAGGAAAGCTAGAACCAAGGTAGACAGCATATTAAAAAGCAGAGATATTACTTTGCTGATATTACTTTGTCTAGTCAAACCTATGGTTTATCCAGTAGTCATGCATGGATATGAGAGTTGGACCATAAAGAAAGCTGACCACCAAAGAACTGGTGCTTTTGAACTGCGGTGTTGAAGAAGACTCTTGAGAGTCCCTTGGACTGCAAGAAGATCCAACCAGTCAATCCTAAAGGAAATCAGTCCTGAATATTCATTGGAAGGACTGATGCTGAAGCTCTGATATTTTGGCCACCTGATGTGAAGAACTGACTCATTGGAAAAGACCCTGATGCTGGGAAAGATTGAAGGCAGGAGGAGAAGGGGATGACAGAGGATGAGATTGTTGGATGGCATCACCAACTCAATGGACATAAGTTTGAGCAAACTCTGGGAGTTGGTGATGCTTCAGGGAAGCCTGGCGTGCTGCAGTCCATAGGGTCACAAAGAGTCGGACACAACTGTGTGACTGAACTGAGCAGGTGAGCTGATGCTCCTTACCTCTTGAGCTGGCCAAGACCCCTCTTGCAGGTTTCCTGACTGAGGCATCAGTACCCACCCCAGCCCTCAACTGATAATGCCCGGAGGTGCCAGCTCTTCACACAGCTTCTTCCCTGGAAATGCCCTCTGGTCCCACCTCCTCTTACACTGCCCACAGGAAGAAGACCTTCACCCTTCAAGGTGTGTCACTGCATGTCCTACTTCAGGAAGCTCTTCCCATCCTCATGGTCATCTCAAGAAAACTCATCTCCTCCCCACTTTCCTCCCAAGAGCTTGTGCTGCTCAGTTCCCACGACAGCCCTCAGAAGCTGCTGTTGTCTTCCATGCACTGACTCTTTTCTCTAAAGGCTTTTCCACAGTAGGATCCACAGCCCATTTTTCTTCCTATCTCAATGCTGACCTCTGAGACCAACAGAGAGCATTTCTCAATCAAGGTTCAAACAATAAACGAATGAGTGACTTTCATGACCACATTGGGCTCTTCACTGACCCCAAACTCATCCCTTACTAGCCAGGAGTTTAAATAGAAAGCGTTTCCACCAAGGCCATCAGGGGCTCTGTTATCACTGAAACTGGGGGGAGGAGTGGTACTCAGCAGACCCCTGGCAGCATCTGGCAGCTAGGCTGTGGTGGCTTCCGTCCAGAATCGGGACTCTGTTGCTGCTGCA